CCCCCCGCCCCCGGTTTGTTTGTATTGTGTCAGAAAAGGAGAGAATTTCAGAATTACAGCTGAAAACGCCATCTGTTTCCAATGAATCCCCCATAGTTTTTCACAATGTTTTTGGCAGATCTCTGCCTGCAAATTCCTTCAAGCCCTGAGTGCTTGTTTTTGTTGGGGGAGGGGAAACCCAGTCCACAGAGGCGGATTTGTTCCTTCCAAAACTCTCCAGTTTCTTTACCTCTTTTTTTTTTTTTTTCATTTGCAAAGGTGAGGGTGGGGGGGGGAATAAAAAGGAGAGAAAGCAGGAGGGAGAAAGAAAAGCCCTAACGCTTAAATCTCCCCGTTTATCTTCGTAGCTTAGTAAAACTTGCCTCTTTTTTTAATTTATTAATTTTTAAATCGCCTCTGCCTTTCTTTTGCATAACCGTAGGTGAAGCAGTCTTGCACACACATGTAGTAAATAAATAAATAACTGCTTTACGCCCTTCCTCCCCCCTTTGCCCTCTTGGCCCTATTGCAGGAAAGCGAGCCTTTTTAGCGCTGCCCTTAGCACTGAGGTGCCCTCCGGACCCCGCTTCCTTCTCCCAGGGGACTCCCCAGCAGGCTGGAAGCTGAACCCCCTGTTTTTTTTTTTTTTCTGGAAACTCTGGAGCGGCTCCCATATTGCGTTGCTTAACGCCCTTTTCGGAGCGTTTGAGTTGCAAAGCGTCGAGGCTGTGAGATTTATGGTACAAGAAAGAACTTGATAGGAGATCTGGCTGGTTGCTTTGTTTGATTCTCCCTTCAGCAGTCAAATAAGGTGCAAAGAACTGGCAGAACGAGGCGATCCGGAGCCCGCGGGAGTGGGGCGCAGGCGGAGACGGTGCTCCCCGTGCGCAGGGCTGGGAGCACGCCGGGGGCTTTTGTTGAAAGCTTTTGGGGTGGGAAGGTAGGAAAAAGTTGCGGGGAGGGGGGATTGATTCCCTGGCATATCCTTTTTTCCCCTGTGCTTCCTGGGAATTTGTGGGTTCCCAGCAGGTTCCAGCCCTGAGGAAGCTTCGCGCCCCTCCTGAGAGCGCCGGGTGAGCGGGGTGGCTGGAGGCTGCCCAGGCGGGCGCTCGCTGTGTCAGATCAGTGCCTCGCCGAGTCCTGCCCTATTTATTTATTTGCTTAACCCCCCACCCCATGCGCACCCCCTGGGCTGGATTCCCACTTATGCTGCTCCCACACCAATGGCTTCACCCCGCTGCCTCCTGCGCAGCCCCCACTGTCGAGCACCCTTGGGCTGGGGGCACCGGCATGGGTGTCCCCTGCGTGGGTGTCCCCCGCGTGGGTCAGGGTGACCTCTGAGCCTGGGGCAGCTGGGGAAGGAGGCTTGGGCAGAGCAGGCCACGGCTGACAGTTTCCCTGGCAGAAGCCCTGCTTGGGGCTTGTGCCAAGTCCCAGTGTCGGATGCTCACGGGTGCTCTCCCCTCCTGGCGGGGACCCTGATTTCCCGGGGTGCTCGGCTGACCCCCGCCTGTGCCTCCCGGTATGGACTGTGCTGAGTTGTCTTGCAAATCCTTTTGTACTTGGCGGAATCTGGCCCTGGGTGTTTTGCCCCAGATGTCAGGCTTTGCTCTTCCCCTCATACTCTGGTTTGCTTCGGCTTTCCCTGTTTGTCTTCAGCTTTGCCGTTTTGTCTGTAATACACTACTGCCTCCCAAAAAAAACCCAAACCAACCCAAAAATCGGGATTTTTCTGCCCGTGGTCCATACGGGCAATGCGGTTGATTCCAGATAAGGATCCATCCCTACTGGAGGTGTATCGGATCGGTTGATAAATGGCTTTTGTCTCAGCAGCAGGGAGGGATGTGATCGCAGCATTAAGCCGAAACTGAGAAGGGGGGCTTAGAGGCTGTTAAAACAACACCTCCCCAGCGCTGCGAACGGGGAGCCGGGCCGGGGGCCGGGCAAGGTGGCGGCACAGGAGGAACGCGCCTGTGCGGGACGTTGTCGGGGCAGAGAAGAAGGGAGGGATTCAAACGTAAACCTGGAAATATTTTGGCTTCCCTGTTTTGTTGCTCGCTCAGAGCCGGTCTCGTACTTGGAACAGGGAGTTCTCTGCGATTGCCAGCAAAGGCTTGTTGTGGGGCTGGAAGGAGGCGCCTTGTTTTTAATGCAGATGGGGTGGATATGTTGCTTTTTTCCACAGAAAATCCTGAAATTCCCGGCCCCTGGTTACTGGGAATGGGGGGATATTAAGAGTGACTTTGGGTTTATAATGGCAGCAGCTGAGGTTTCCTTCTTTGTAGCCCAAGCCGAGTCGGATGTGCACATAAAAGTGCTCACAGGGCTGGGCAGCCATAAAAACTTCCTAACCTGGGGGCTCTGCTCAGTCCCTGCCCCAACCTGCTGTCCCCGGAGAACCGGGCTGCAGCGCTGGATCAGGCCCCGGGGACAGCGAGTTCTGCGGTCTCTCTTTTGGCTCCTTGATGGGCACATCCCATAAATCAACCGTAGGCTCTGGTAGGGCAGTGCACGGCCCGAGCGAGCCCTTCCTCAGCCCCGCAGTCCTTTGGGGGTCCGCCCCCCAGCCGAGTCCTGCAGCTCCCAAGGGATGAAGCATTAGTGGGACAGCAAAGAAGGTCAAAGACGAGAGGGTTTGGCCCAGCTGGATGGGTTTGACTGGGTTTGATTTGCTCTTCCCATTGGAGCAGACACCAAACTTGGAATAAGGGGGAGTGTGGGAACCCAGGTCCAAAAAAGCATCGGGGTCCCCGGTGGTTTGAAGGGGGCCAGGGTGAAATCAGGGAGGACTCAGCCAGGAGTGGTGTGCGCTGGGGCAACGGGGAAGGGTTTTCGGGGAGGATGGGGGATGCTCGGAGCTGCAGCTGTGGCAGGGCAGGTGAGGGGGTGTGCTGGCTTTTTTCGGGCTGTCCTGGCAAATTCTGTCTTGATGCTCCGGATCAGGAGCGAGCGGTGCAGGCAGGGCCCTGCCTGGCCATGCGTGGCACCTGGAGCGCACTTGTTAAGAGGAGTGCCCCTAAATGCCTTTAAAAAGCTCTGTATCCTGCACTTGGCGACTACTGGGATGAGAAGAAGAGGATATTTATTCCCTTGTCCGTGAGCTCTCAAAATAACAGGGCGTTCGATTGTAGCCTCAAGATTGGTTTGCACTCAAGTGCAGCCCGGCTGAGTAAATCACTGCTTCACCAGCTGAAATTCCTGCAGCAAGGGGGAGAATTGAATTATGGCCAACTGCAAAACCAGATGCCATCCCCTTGATGAAGTCATCGGGCTCTTACTGCGGAGAACAAGCTGGCTCCTACACACACGCAGCCCTCGTAGGCGCAGACTGAGCCGCTCTGTCTAACGGCCCGGCCGTGGTGTGTGGGGCAGCCGGAGGCTGGCGTCCCTGCAGATGCAAGAACAGTTAAGTCCTTCAGGGTGGAGCCCCAGAAGGGTGTCGGGTCCCGCTTTCTGCTGTATGAGCATCCAGGGGAGTTTGGCCATTTCATTCCCAGCAAGCAGAGCTATCTATCCCTGCATATACGGGTTTTTTATGGGTCAGGCAGAGAGCAAGCTTCACTTGAGCCCAAAGTATTTTCTCCTCCCTCGGTTTCCTCTCCTTCCTGGACAGCTGTTGACTTTGGTCCCCAAAGCCCTAGTAATGATCTATGGCGTTTTGGTTTTCGGACAAGCTACCTTTTTTTCTTGCCATGTGACACGCTCCAGCCAGCCCTTTCTGAGATGAGGAGGACATGTGGCAGGACACTTTAGGGAAGGGTCCTGGCTCCGGGCTTTGCCAGCCCGCAGTGATGTGAGAGCATCACTGCGCTGGGGATGGGAGGGTGGGGAGCAGCGGGCCCAAGGCGGTAGGTTCCAGCTAGAAAGTTACTTTTTCTCTTAAAATTAAAACCTGAGCCCAGCGGGGACAGCAATCAGATGCATTTAAAAAATAAATAAACCTCTGACGGTCTGTGGCTGTGAAGGAGGAGCAGATATCGTGGCTTCCATGGGGCGTGAGCGATGGGAGCGAGTCTGGTGCTGGGTGGGAGCCCAGCCCGCAGGAGGGATCCACTCGATCCCTGCGTGTCCCCAGGTGTGGTTCCAGCATCCGTCGAGCGCCTGCCTGGGTTTTTGGTGGGCTCGTGGGGCCGCTGCCTGCCAGCCGGGCAGCTGCCACCCCACACCCTGCGCGCAAACCAACGCCTCCGATTGAGATGCCGCAATATTTTGGCAGGCGTTTAATTGTATAAATTTGCCTCATCCAGATTTATGTGCTCCGGGCTTTTCTCCATCTCCTCGTTTTGTGTCTCATTTACCTCTG